TAAAGAAAAACATTCTTTAAAGAAAATGTTTACTTCAAATTCATAAGACAATAAAAAATGGGATTGTAAAATGTTGGTTGGTTGTAAAATGGATTGAGATGAGCCAACTCTGACTGTAGGGCATATGTGATCTTCATGAAGTGCTTTCAATCAAGTAAATGACAGTCACCGCGGTACTAGAAGCAGTACCAGTTGGCCTTCATGTTCCAAAATGGTTTCCCTTTGTATTTTTTTTAATAATACATAATGATCAAGGCAGAAAAGTGGCAGTCTACTTTTAACACTAAAGATTATCAAGAAAAAATGAAAATTAGTTTCTCTCTTCCCCATCTTTTCCTATTACACACACAATCCACTGGCTATAATGCAAAGCCAGGACATAGGAACCACAAAGTACAATAGTATGCATTGTTTAGTGCTCAGGCATATTTTTCTTTTAATGGTGTACTTCTGTTTCTTGGAGGACATCTGCCTTTGGTCACTCTACAACTAGCAGTATTCAGAGCTTGATACTATTTTTTTTGCCTGAAAAAAGCAATGTTGGCAAATTAGCACAGCAAAATCTGGAAAAATACAGAAGGCAGAGTAAGTGAAATTAGGTTCATAATATCCAGGCCAGACCAGGAAAACAAATAGGCTTAGTTAGGGATCGGCAATCTGAGTGCGCACACAGCGCTAATATAAATCTCTGTTCCTGCTGACTTGCAAAAACTCTTCAAAACTCACCAGTTATCTGCATATAAACTATCTTTTGTTTCTGTAAGAAGTGCTGGAGCAGTACTCAGTGTATCAGAGGAGCAAGTAGGAGAATTAGGGATGCCGTAATGTTATCAGACTGCAAGCATGACATCCATAGCCTTTCTTTAACTAAGAAGATAACATCCTTGGCACAGAAATAGGGGGAATGATCATGATCATCAAGTGTGGTTACCTTGGGATTCTTCTTTGGGAATGGCACACCATTTCAGTAACATAAGGTTCCTGAGATGGTCAGCCTTTTCAGGATTCCCTATTGAGCCATTACAGGGAAAATCCCTCGTCTTTACTCTTCTGTTTGATCATGAGATCTGAGACGTGAATAGTCCTTGTTCATCATAATTTCCAATTCCAACTGCATACAGACAAGAGACATGCATAGCCTCACAGTATATGCCTTATTAATAGCATGGCAGACAATTGACTTCTCTGGAGCTCTCTTGCCCAGAGTGCCAAAAAATAGTTATTGGGCATGTCTACATGTGCAATTAATGCAAACCAGTAAACTCTGGGGCTTATTGTTCTGGAGTTTTTTGCTCCTGGGTGCACCGTTTGAATGTTTGTCCAGGAGCAAAATATTCTGGAGCAATAAGTTCCAGAGTGCATTCGTGTGCATCACGTGGAGACCAGTAGGAACAGTCCAATATGGAGGGGGGACCCAGGGAGTCAGCCTGTCAGCCCAGGCCTGCTCCAACTGTGCTTCATGTGATGTAGGGGCTGGTTGGGGTACAGAGTGCCTCAGTGTGGGGCTAGCTGGCAGGCAGACCCCACACTGAGGCACACTATGCCCCAGCCAGCTATGGGGCAGCACATAGAGACGGGGGAGCAGCCAGCCCAGGGCTGCTCCCATGTCTTTGCATGCTGTGGAGCCCCCACACTGAGGCACACAACATCCCAGCCAGCACTCCACAGCACATGGAAATGGGAAAGCAGCCCTGGACTGGTTGCTCTCCATCTTCATGTGTTGTGGGGTACAGGGTGCCTCAGCACAGGGGATGCCTGCCAGCCAGACCTGCACTGAGAAACCCTATGCCTCAGCCAGCTAGGGCAACATCTAGACATGCACCGCTGTGCACAAAATAACCCCATCCACCGCAAAGTAGTACTTGTATTTTACAAGACTACCCTGCTGCAGTTTTAATTTCATGCACCCTAAGAGGGGTGTATGTATAGATGCTGAGATGTTTACTATGCAGTTAATTGGTCAACTGCACAGTAAATGTCTAGTGTAAAAGCACCCCTTTAAACCCAAATTTGGATGCAAGTCTAATTCAAAGAAATGAAGACTGCGATCCTTCTAACACAAATTTCAGTGTTTTGTTATGATGTATGTATGGGACTACGCACTTTAACCTTTTTTTTCTAGCTTAAGCTAGCCAAATACCCAAGCTAGTAGAAATGCATAAAGAAAAAGTCTTAAGTGGCACAAAATAGACTAAATATTTTTAAGCAGTCTTAATAAGATGAAGGTGTTAAAAATTTGACCAATTTTTGAAAATAATGTAATAGAAATTTCTGATGTTATGTGTAGTTTTGATTCCTGTTGTCATTTTTCCTGGCTTTACGTTCACAATTCTGTATGTTTTTAGGAGACTAGGTTTCATCTCTGGTAGGTGAAAGATCTCTACAGACTAGGGAAATTGACTCTACTGAAGAAACAGTTAAACTGAATGTTCACTGTATTCATAAAATATAAAAATTAAAATGGGATTTTTTTTTGCTCCCCCACCCCAACCCTTTCATTTATAATAATAATAGGTGTTTATTGCCAGGGTATTTTTCCTTTAATACAGAGTAAATGTTTTTCAGACAGGTGTGTGTGTGTGTGTGTGTGTGTGTGTGTGTGTGTTTTCTCTTTTCAAGTTGAGGTCTCATTAATGAGAACACTGCAAATAAATGCCTCTTTTCTCCAGGCCAAGTTTGTGCTTCACTGTATTGTTCAGGGATACTTTCCTTGTTAGCAGGGACAGTTAACATTATCTGTACTTCTTTCCAAGGGGATATCAGCCTCTTTTGAATTATACTTGCACATCCTTATTTTAAAAATGATTAGTGTGATATTGGGTGCTTTGGTTTTTTGGGTTTCTAAGTTGACATATTTTAAAGGGGGCCACAGTGCTTCTGGAAGTTGAGGCACTTTATGGTGACAAAGTAGGGTCACTGGGTGTTTCTGGGAACATTGACCAGATGTTGAGAGAGATGGGACCCTCTGTATGTGGCTCTGTGCCACATCACATTTTGCATACCAGCCTGTATTTGAAAATCCCTACATTGGCTTTGCTGGCATATCTCTCTCTCAGGAAGAATGGTAAAAGCTTATTATATTTGAGATGGTCAGTGTCCTGTTTCTTAATCCAACCTCCTGTGCCCGAGTGTGGTTGCTCATAAGGTTCACTGTGTGAAAGGACTGTAATAGCAGGTGATTCTTGCATGCCATATGTGCCACAATTTAAATAAATAGGGTGAAAGTAAAATAAACCAGATCATTCCTTGTTCTGAAGCAACTTCTGCTTCTTGAGTTTAATTTTAAGAGCATGTAATGCCTATACCCCTCCTTGTATCTTGAATGCATATATTTGGTCTCTGCAATTAGAAATACATACAGGCCCACCAAGGGGACGGTCTCCATCCCAGCTGGGAGTTAGCTATGTAGGTCACAGGAGGTTGTTGGGGAGTAGGTGCGGTCTGTTATGTAACATCAATCTGTTTAGTACCAATGTTAGTTGGATCAGCACTTCCATTCTAAACCAGTTTGCGTCAGTTTATAACTTGGCTATAAAAATTCATTCCAGGCTGAAACCTGGCATGTATGATCTCAGCCACGGAAAAAAATTTAAATGGCCGAGTTGTTAACACTTGAAATTTGGCTGCTAAGCATGTATAGCTTTATCCACAGCTTATTTGTTTTTTTGTGGCACTGAGCATCTCTCTCATGGACTGATGATTTTGACTTGCTTTTTTTTCTGATGGGTAGACTGCAGTTATTGAGAAGTGGTGGTCATTCTTTATTCTCATGAACTCCAAACTGGTGTTTTGGGTTTACTTCCAGGTTTAACTACCTTAACTACTTAGCTACTTTAACTGCCTTGGGTGTTGCGTGAAGCTTCGGTCGCCGATTTGTTTTGGCTGAGATTCGGCCCGATTCGGTGGCCAAGTCTCCAAATCCGAATCATATCAAGGGACCCCGTAATCTCTCTGAATTGAATTGGAACCCTCTGAATCGATTCGGAAAGATTCGACGATTTGGACATAGACACAGCTTTAAACGTCTTTTCTACATACCTCAAGGTACCAGGCAGCTCATGAATGCTGAGATGGTAGGGCGGATGGAGCATCCCGTGGGAACGCGGGGGTGGGGCCCCCACACGCTCCCCAGCAGACATGGAAATGGACTGGAAGTACTTCCGGTCCACTTTCGGGTTTGTTTCTGAGCACACAGGGGCCCCTCCCCCCCCACGCTCCTGTGGGATGCTCCATCTGCTCCACCATTGAAGCATTTATGAGCCGCTCCTGGTACCTTGAGATATGTAGAAAAAACATTTAAAGCTGTGTCTATGGCTGAATCGCTGATTCTCCAAATCAGCATCAAAACTTGAGATTTGGATTTGGCCAAATTGGATCTGGGACAGTGATCTGAATCAATTAATAGAATCACTGTTCCTGATTTGGGCCAAGACCAAATCCAAATCAAATAGGGCCTATTTTGCACGCTCCTATTGGGTACAAGGTATCAGGGGATTTTTTTCTAACCAGGGGTGGACACCTCATGTAAGGATTCCAGCACAGTTTGTGTGCAAGTCAGATGGTATTGCTGAGTTTTTTTGTGTCCCTGAAAGGGGCAGGGAGGAGAAACCAAAAAAACTGGATTGTCTTAATACTACTTCCTCTCTGTTGAAAGCAACTGGAGTGTGGAGAGGTGACAAACAGTGGCAACTCACTCTCTTAGTCTAAATAGCTAAATAGTCTGATTAAAGGACTATAGAAGATAATGATGATGATGATTTGATAGCTCAGTACAGAATTTTTTGGGCAGGCAGGAAGTATAGGATAAACATCTGGCATGCTAGTGGTTCTTGATGTCCAGTAGTTAATGACCGATCATGTTACCATGTTTTCTGTTGCAGTACCCAGCACCAACATTCTCTATCTGCAGGCATGAGAAGTAACAACCTATTTTATTTCTTCCTTCCCTCCTATAATTAGTGGGCTTTTTTGGTAACAGTCTCTTCTCCATCTTATTGCAGAGCTTCGAACATGGGAGGCAAACTTAGCAAGAAGAAGAAGGGGTACAGTGTGAATGATGAAAAAGCTAAAGAAAAAGACAAGAAGGCTGAGGGAGCTGTTACTGAGGAAGAAGGGACTCCAAAAGAGAGTGAGGATGCCCAGCAAACCACAGAAACCACAGAAGTAAAGGAAAACAACAAAGAGGAGAAGAGTGATAAAGATTCCCAGGTCACTGCCAATAAGAGAGAAGAAAAAGAAGGAGAAAAAGAGAAAGCAGCGAGCCAGGAAGAAATAAAAAAACCTGAACCGGAGAAGTCTGAGGCCTCTGTTGATGCAAAAGCAGAACCACAGAACAATGAACAACAGGCACCCAAGCAAGAGGAGCAGACTTCAGCTGCTGCTCCTGCTGCCAGTATCGAAGCATCTAAAACTTCTGAGTCCAGCAATGATGCAAAAGTTTCCCAGCCTTCAGAAGCCACAGCCACTAGTAAATCAGATGACAAGAGCAAAGAGGAAGGGGAAGCCAAAAAGACTGAGGCTCCCACAGCACCTGCAACTCAAGAAACTAAAAGTGAAGTGGCCCCAGCTTCAGACTCAAAACCTAGCAGCAGCGAAGCTGCACCTTCTTCCAAGGAGACCCAGGCAGCAATAGAGGCATCTAGTTCTACTCCTAAGGCCTCAGAGCCTGCAGCCCCACCAGAGGAAGATAAACCTTCTGAAGTTCCAGCGACTAATTCGGATCAAACCATAGCAGTGCAAGATTAAATTGGACAGCCTGTTGAAAACGACCACTTAAAACAACCTGTGTCTTTTGTTTTTTATTTTTCAGCTATACTAACTTGTTTCAGATCTGAAATAACAATATGTATTGCCCAGAAAATAAAAAGGATGTCCCATCAAGTTGGGAGGGAGGGAGGGGGAGAATCCAAATAGTATTTTTGTGGGGAAATATCTAATATACTTTCTGCCAACTTGACAAGTCAGTCTTGGATTTAAAATAAAAAATGGATGTCTGAAAGTACAGCACCTCTTTTGTATCTGAACAGCTGTAAATGCATTCTACCAATGTATTGAAATCTTTTTTTGTTCTGTAATGGGGTTTGGGAGTGATGTGTTTTGATTCTACCCACTGGGTTTGTGCCAAGGCAATCAGATCTTTATGAAAGCAGTATTTTCTGTGGTTTTTTTTATTTACAGCCTTTCTTATTTTGATATTTTTTTTAATGCAGTGGATGAATGCCAACTTTCAGACAAAACCCACTTAGCTGTCCACATTTTTCTCAATGCCAATCCTCCGATTCTTCTTCCTCTCCAAACATTTTTGGGAGTAAAAAGCATTCTCATCCTACTTAGCCTACCTAGATTTCTCATGACGAGTTAATGCATGTCTGTGGTTGGGTGCACCTGTAGTTCTGTTTATTGGTCAGTGGAAATGAAAAAGTCTGCGTTCATTGCAGTTCCAGTTTCTCTTCCATTCTGTGTCACAGACACTAACACACCACTCATTGGAAAACAAATGAAAAGCAAAATGTACAATGGATGCATTGAAATTATATGTAATTGTATAAATGGTGCAACAGTAATAAAAGTTAAATAATTTAAAAAATATAAAGGTGTAAAGACTTAATAGTTTTATTCAGATTGATCTTTCCTATTTATCTTTGACAACCTAGAATTTGGAACCCCCACGATCAGAGGAAATGAAAATCATTAACTTCCCCAGATTGCATTGCCCATACCAGTGGGTTAGGAAAGTGATGTTCTATTCGGCTTTGGTGAAGGTGTGAAAATATGCCTTAAAGTTCTACATGGCACCTTGTAGCCTCCATTAGAGCCTGGAAGTGGTCAGTTAGCAGGATGCCATTAATATTCTAAACCCAAGCAGTATAGAACTGGCATTAGTGCATGCCAGACTTTAAAATGAAACAAATGCTCACCTGCTGTTGTACTAAGTTACAGGTGTACGGTTGATTTCTGCTTGAAATAAAATGCACACACAAAATTCTGCAGGAGTCATAGCTTCCAAAATAAGGCAACTTATCTTATTCCTAGGTGAGTTGGACTGGCATTAAAATATATCTATCGCTAATACATTTTAAATTTATTTCTCAACTCAGTTGTGTACAGCTAGTTATCTGCAACTCGTGCCTATAACAGGCCAGATAAATTACACTTCTACAGTTAAACTTTTGTTACTGGACAGAGCTTGTCCCTTTTACATGATTCTTTCCACAGTTTCCCCCATCATGTCACTTTTTATCCTGCTGAAGTGCAAGATAATTGCAAACATGATGTCCTTGCCAGATAGAAATGGAGATTACCAGGTACAGTCTAGTCTTCATAAAGCAAGATTAAGGGAGGTTGCATGGGGTAGCATTCAGGCAGTAAACTAGTGGTTTTCTACCTTTTTAGTCTCAAGGTACCCCTTGGAAAATGCCAACATTTTGACTGCAGACAAATAATTCTTCTGTTGGAAAGAACTCAGAAAGACCACACAGGGCAGAATGTTTTTAACACTGTGGATTCCCATTTGAAAACTTTGGGTTTATTGTGTAAACCATGTTTGCACACTTAACTGCTAACCTTGCATGGCAACCCATGGCACCCTTGAAAGAATCTCAAGACACTCCAGGGTGCCATGGTACCCTGGCTGAGAGTCATGGCTAAAGACTGTTGCCTGTGAAAGCTTAGCTTCTCTGAACAAGTCAGTCTCTGAGGTGCTACCCATGCATAAGTAATCCATGCCTGAATAGTCTTCCCTTGGGGTTCTTCTGGAAAGCTTTACTTGAAGGTCCATTTGCTACTAACTATATTTTAAAAACTGCATTTGGAAACATGTAGGATTTATATACTCTATTCACATGGTGGGAATCTAGCACTAAGGGTTTTGATGTGAAGTTCCTGGAGTCAACTGGAGTTGTTCTTTCAGCTTTGGATCCAACCTCAAAGATTACATGAGACATAAAAGGTATGTTTACACAATGTCCCTCATGAGATCTGGCCTATGGTTGAGAAATAAGTCTTGCCCAGTTCTATTTGGGTTCAGAAATTTGTAGCGACCATGGTTCAGTCCTGAGCTTGCACCCTGTCAACATGGTCAGGGTCCCAGAACCTGACTGAGCACGGCACATCCCTTACTTCTCAGTCTGGATATGCACTGAAGGTGGGGAAGCTAAAACCAAGACCCTGCATGAATCATTCTATCTCATTTTAGACTAAACAGATACTCTGACATGCAATACCTGTATTTTTTTTGATCTATCCTAAATTAGTGAGTTCATGGACGAATGAGAAGAACTTGGATGCTTGCTTACAATAAATGGCTCATTAGCAGTAAGATGAATGAAATAAACCAAAACACTACAGTATCAAGGAATTTCAGCAGCACTTGTCACTACATTCAGCCACACATTCCTTAGATTCTTTATTATGACAATGATAGAGATTTCTTTAGCAGGTAGATGGTGCATGGTAATTGACTTGATGTATTTTGGGGGTAGTAAGTTGCTTCGAATTTGTGCAAGAAGGTAAACTTGCTTGGAAAGATTAGAGATTTGGGAAGGCCATCCTGAATTGGGTGTCTTTAACTCATTTGCAAGCATGAGCACTACATTAGAACTGTCATAGCAATACTAAAAGTTTGCTATTGTGCATATGATTGCAAAATCTGCTTTTATCACTGCATCCCCAAATTTTGGTGACTTAATTGTAGCACCTGAATAAGCCAATTGAAATTAGACCTCACAGTGCTAAGCACTATATACATATACATGCATTCACACAGTAAAAGCAAAAGTCCTCCTTTGGAGTTTACAGGCTAAGCAGATAAATCACCCCAAAATGATAACCCTGTTCCACAGATAGAGATACAAAGTACAGAGGTTATAGCTTTGCCTCAGGATCACACAGGGAGCTGGCTGCCTATACACAGGGTTTGCATTCTAATTAGAATGGGTTGAGGCAAACTTGATTAATCAATTAATCAAGTCTGCTCTGCATTCTAATTTAGAGCACTCCGGCACTGCCTCACCATCATGTATATTGAACCCATGTGCATTTTAAAATGGGGTTTAGCTAAAGCATCCTGTGGCCATTTTTAAATGCATAGGGGCTTACTACATGTGATGATGAGTCATTTTAATTAGAGTGGTTCTCTGGGAATTGCTCTACTTAACCTCCCACCACCACAAGCACATATATAGGAGCTCAATCCAGTTTTCCTGAATTCCGGTCTAATGCTTCAACTCAAAGGCTAGTTCTTGTTCTGAGTTACCATCACAACTCTTTGGCTATAATACAAACAAAAATATTTATCGTACAGAGATAATCTGTGTATTAACTTCCTAAATGGAAGTGCTTTTTCATGGAAGCAATCAGGTCTCATAGTAAAGATGATGTCTTTGATTAGATCAACAAGATTTTTGCAAAAAAAAAATTTTAATTGCAAGCTTTCAGGCATAAACACCCTTCATCAGGCAATGGAGAAAAGATTGTAAAAATTCTCCTGGGTAGAAATGATTTTGCTAAAATCTTGTTGGTCTAATAAAAGATATAATCTCTACTATGAATCCTGATTTCCTTTTCCTCTAGACCAATACAGCTACAACCTGGATACCTTTTCATGGAAGCATGTCACTTAGAAGTAAGAGGGGAAAACTAAACCTTGGGAAACATTAGCTGTTTTTAAAAGCACTTAACAGCACTTGCCTTCAGCATTTTCTGGAAAAGTTTTTAAAAGTTATTTTGTTCTGGAAATAGTCATGAAGTTTGTGGTGGTCTCTAACAGGAAGGTTATTGCCATTGCTTCTGTTAGTACTTTCACTGCAAGGATAGAAACACAGTTTAACACCACTGTTGTGCAGGGCAAGTAAGTCACAGCATTACCTTGAACACTGAGGCCAGTTGCAGGTTCACTGTCTTCCTTTTAAAATAAAATCCTATTTGCACTTGCATCTCAGTATGTCTGAGATGTCCTGAAATAAACAGAAAGGAGACCGTTTCTGTATGCAGAATCTACTTTCTGGCATCTTTGCAACAGAGGTGGGAACATGGCAAAACACTGACAGATATGAGATTCACTTGTGACTAATGCTTATTACTTGAACACTGGTCTGCATTTATACACTTTGTGTGGTGTTACTTTAGCGTGCCCCTAGATCATATAATTGCTTTATTATCTATGCAGCAGATGCTCTTCTATTACAAAAATACTGGTAACTGTTTAGCAGATGCACATTTGTTTTCTGCGTGGCCCAGGTTTCTATCTTTGTTACACTTTAGGTGCTGCTGCTTATAACTAAGCAGTCACTGACTAGATAAACTTCTGGACCTTCCTTTCCCTTATTTGCATACAGAAGTTATTGATCTCAGCTGAGCAATTAAATTCCCAGGGTCCAATTCATACCCCTATGTGATGCTGGTTTGATGCTGGGTAGCTGATATGAAACAGGATGATACACTGGTTGAATCAGGCTCTTTGTTTCCTGAGCTTCTGACAGCTGCTTTGCATCTTCTTCCGAGCTGATCTAATTTAGTAATTCTGGTCACGCTGAGTATGTGACTAATTTTGTTGGTCACATGCTTAATGACCAACAAAATTGTATCCCAGGTTCAATGTCATTGCTGCAGAAAGCAGTGCCTCACTAGTTCCTACATGTATGACTTCTGTTTATTAAGTTTTTGCTGCCTTTATTTGCATAACCATCTCATTGCCTGCTTGTATTAATTTTTTTTGTCTCTGGCCATTATTTACTTTTTTTTGGTGTCACGTGTTCTTGTGCATTAGCTATTTCCTAGGTCTCTACATATATATTACTCTCATTCTGTAGTGTTTTTCCATCTACCTTAGTCTTGAATGTTATTTTTAAATTATATCACATTCGTGCATGTGGAGGGTGTGAAATTTATAAACCTGGAATTTACAGTCTTCCAGTCACAGGAAAAAAATACAGCACAGGGAATGAAAGCACAAGTTTGCCTATGTTGCCATAATAATTTCATCTCTGGCAGTAGAAGAGGATGCATCTGTAATGGAATATAATTATATTGATTTTTGGTCTTATCATCAATGAATATCAACATTGATGCCAGTGAGGTATGTTGTTTAATGTTTTACAATATGAACACAGAACCTAGACTGACATAATGTCCTTATGTCATAGAAGAGGCTTTTGTATTTTAGCTAGTCTCATAATAATGAGATTACCTCTAGTTCCCTGTTCCCAGCATATCTCTGAACCATTTTAAGAGGGTACTAAGCACAACACTCGCTCTTATGGAAGCCTGTTTGTTCACTATCTTCCATTTAACAATAAGCATATTTATTCAATACAAATAATGATATTTCATCTTAGAATAGTCTGACTAAATCACATGGGTCTTGTTTCGCTGTAAATTCCTTATGGTATCACATCAAGAAGACAAATGAGCATCAGCTAATTCCATTCTGTTCCAAATGTTCATTAAAAAGATGAAAAAATAATCCTTTGTGATTGCTCTAATTAGGATGGGATGAACTCCTATGGACATTGGCTACTTGGTTTTAATCAGAGCTTCATCAAGTTGTTGCAAAATGAGTAATATTTGCTTAAATATTGTTGGGCTGACTA